CCATTAAGTTTGTTTTCTATGTCTGTGAGTCTCTTTCTGTAAATAAGTTCATTTGTGTAATTTTTTAAGATTCCACATGTAAGTGATATCGTATCAGTATTTGTCTTTGGCTTAGTATGACAATCTGCTGGTCCATCCATGTTGCTGCAAATGCAATGCAAATTCCTTTTTATGGCTGTGTAGTATTCTATTGTATAAATATACCACAGATTCTTTATCCTGTCATCTGTTGAAGGACATTAGGTTGCTTCCATGACTTGGCTATTATAAATAGTGCTTCTGGGAACACTGGGGTGCATCAATCTTTTTGAATTAGAATTCCCTTCAGATACATGCTCAGGAGTGGGATTGCTGGATCATAAATCTATTTTTAGTTTTGTAAGAAATCTCCATGCTGTTTTCCATAGTGGCTACACCAAACTACACTCCCACCAACAGTGTAGGAGGAGTAAACATTTCTGCACACCCTCTCCAGCACTTTTCATTTGTGGACTTTTTAATGATGGCCATTCTGATTGGTGTGAGGTGATACCTCATTGTAATTTTGATATGCATTTCTCTGATAATTAGTGATATTGAGCATTTTTTCATGCTCCCATTGGTATGTCTTCATTGGAGAAATGTCTAGGTCTTCTGCACATTTTCTGATTGGGTTATTTGTTATTGAGTTGTTTATATATTCTGGAAATTAAGCCCTTGGCAGTTGCATCGTTTGCAATTATTTTCTCCTACACTATAGGCTGTCTTTTCCTTTTGTTTATAGTTTCCTTTGCTGTGCAAAAGCTTCTAAGTTTACTTAGGTCCCGTTTGTTTATTTTTGCTTTTATTTTCATTGCCTTGGTGCACTGCCCTAGGATAACACTGCTGTGATTTATATCAGAGAATGTCTTGCCTGTTTTCTTCTAGACTTATGGTGTCCTGTCTTATGTTTAAGTCTTTAAGCCATTTTGAGTTAATCTTTGTGTATGCTGTGAGGGAGTGTTCCAATATCATTGTTTTACATGGGGCTGTCCAGCTTTCCCACTGCTTGTCATACACTACCTTCAGATTAAGAAGTTAGGCCTTTTATGTTCCAATGAAAATTTGCTTCCTTTAAACTAGGTAACTTGGGCAGACTTCTACTGGGAAATCTGCAGTACCACACTTTTGGTCTTTAAACCTGATTTGTTGGACATCCATCCCAGGCTGGTGACATTACGGAGGAAAGTCCAAAGCATTCCTGCCATAGCTGACTGGATACAGCAAAGGCCGCAAACCAAACTCTAGGTGATGCCTGCTGACTCCAACTTCATTATTCTTCACAGCATCACTCCCGTAAGATGATAAGCTACATCAACATGCCACATAATCTACACACTTCCCTCCCCAGTTCCATCAAGGTTTTGACTTTTGCATATTCTACTTATTAAAAAAAAATTAAAAAGGAAGAGGAAAAAAAGAGTTTTGTTTCTGGCACCTTTTTTTTCAGAATAGCTTCAAATCAATTATAACTGAGGAAAAATAGTTTACAATAAGGGCAGGCCTTGCTTTGTGCTGCTCTGACATACATGCATCTCAGTCACAATGGTTTAGTTACATAACACATTTTCTACCCCCAATGGTTTGTACTTCAGTTAGCATAGCATAACTGTGACTCACACATAAAGTATAAATTTTGCTGCTAGCTCTTCAGTCCACAAATCACTATGTAAATAACAGATGTATATCACAACCAATCATGTCACTTCTTTCAAAGTTTGTTAGTCTTGGTCACTGCACATCTGTCATTCACACACAGTCAGCAAAGTGTGTAGTTAAACTGCTTGCTTCTCAGTGAAAAACCCACTTGACACTTTACAAAAATGGATAATTGAAAAAGGGAACTCATCAACAAAGATGAAAATGCAATATAGGAATGAAAAGGGATGATGCTGGAGTGAAATTCAAATTGAACGTAAGCGTAGAGCTGGCTGTAAGAATCCTGACACTATTGCAGTTCAAGAGGCCCTAGATATGCAGCCAGAAGTACCTGGTGAGGCAAACTTACTGCCATAAGTGAGGAATGTGGTTGTGACAAAGGTGAAGATATCCCAGAGGAAGTGACACTGGCAAAACAAACAAACAAAAACAACAAAAAACAAAAACTGAACATTAAAAGAACAGAGATCAAAAGAATAAGACAAGCCACAGATGGGAAGAAAGTATCTGCAAAAGGACTGTAATCCAAATATCCAAGACAAAGAACTAACCTGATTATTAAATGGACAAAAAATCTGGACAGACAACTCACCAAAGATATACAGATGGCAAATAAATATATAAAAAGATGCTCAACATCATGTTACAAGGGAACTGCAAATAAGAACAATGAGATACCATACATACCTATTACAATGGCAAAAATTCAAAATATAACACCAAATGCTGATGAGGATGTGGAGCAACGGGAACTTTTATTCATTGCTGACAGGAATGCAAAATAGCACATATACCTTGCAAGAGTCTGTTAGTTACTTACAAAACCAAACACTCTTACCATATGCTCCAGCAATCACACTCTGGTATTTACCCAAAGGAACTGAAAATTTATGTCCACACAAAAACCTGCACATGGATGTTTGTGGCAGCCTCATCAATAACTGCCAAAACTTAGAAGCAACCAAAATATCCTTCAGCAGGTTACTGGATAAGTAAATTGTGGTATATCCAAACAAGAGAATAGTACTCAGTACTAAAAAGAAATGAGTTATCAAGCCATGAAAAGACATGAAGGGAACTTGAATGAATATTACGAAGTGAAAGAAGCCAATATGAAAAGGCTGCATGATTTCAGCTATACTAACATTCTGGTAAACGCAAAACTACAGAAACAGTAAAAAGATCAGTGGCTGCCAGGGGCTTAGGGGAAGTGATGAATAGTTATTGAGAAATTTTAGTGCAATAAAACCATTCTGTATGATACTGTAATGGATTCATTTGTCAAACCCATAAAATGTGCAACACCAAGAGTGAACCCTAATGTAAACTATGGATTTCGATGATTGACAATGTGAGTTCACTGATCATATCAAATGTGCCATTCTGAGTGCAATGCTGATAGTAGGGGAAGCTGTATCTGCATGGGCGCAGGGGTACATGGGAACTCTGTACTTTGTGCTGAATTTGCTGTGAACCTAAAACTCCTCTAAAAAGTAAAGTCTATTTAAGAAGACAAAGAACAGAGATATTTCACACATTAAAAGAGTAATAAAATGTTGGAAGCTGATCCAAATTTAGGATTATGACATTTGTTAAGATATGAAAAAAAAAGGCTAACTTGCTAGTTTTACAACAAGAAGGTACTGTTCAAACTACTTTTGATTAATTTTTTACAAAAATGATCTCTCTTCAATGTTTCTAATATCTCACAGTGTACTGAGTATTGGTTTTTACTACTTTGTTCATTTACTTACACATTTATAACTGACATTTTATATGTGCTGATTAAATTTTAAAGGTCATTGAACAATCATTTTCCCCAAAGATTATTATTATTTTGCACAATTTCAACTTGCAGTCATTTTTACAGTCCTGGTCTACTGTGGAAAGCAAGAACTGCTTGTATAAACAAGTCATTTGAACAGGAATAATATTTAGTTAGATTACCCTCAACCTATTTTAAAACATAATTACATTGGAACATCAAATTTTAGTTCAGTTTATGTTAATATTACTAATATTGAACTGTCTAATCTTAGTATGTCATATCAGGAAACAGATTCATAAAATAGATGATCTTATACATGAAATGCAGAGCAGAAGGAGAATGTAGTTGAGAAGCCAAAAAATGGGAAGAGAGTGTGAGAGAGGAGAAAGGAAAGAAAAAGGAAAGTCCATCTAAGTATGATCTTTTTTAAGGTGTTTTAGTTCCTCCTAACAATGCTCTATGAAATTTGGAAAAAAAATGTTAAACACCTTATACATTATTAAAGATTACACACAAAAACAAAATGTATTTCCCAAGTACCTTACTTCTTTGGATTAATTTTCTTGTCATTAATGGCTGTTAATAAATGTTGATCGGTTATAAGCGACTCTCACTGCAAAGTACTCAATCTGTCATCAAGACAACTAAAGAAAAAATTACCTTTCACAAAATAAATTCAAATAATATGCTAGATAATGAAGGTAGAAACATTTCTTCCCTCTTATGCATGTTCTTTTTCCTCCACATAATTACATTCTGGCAAGCCTTAATGAAAATAGAATTTAGTAAAAGTGATAAATAAATGCTTATTTAAATTATAAAAATAAGATAATCATTCCCTCTTGTTTACACAAATCCTAATTCAAATATAAAATGCAACCACTGCAGGTTTCATAAGGAAATATTTCAATCATAGCATCATCATAACTTTCAGGTCATCTTTTTCCACTGAAGAACAACACACTCCATTACCCTGTCCTGTACCTAAATTAAATATCCCCTCGATGAGCAAGTAAACAGGTGTGAGAGAGAATGAATAAATCAGAGAAGTTGAATTGCATATTATACTTACAATCAGGAAAAAAAAGTACCTTTAAGAAGAGTTAAAAGAATCAATTTCTTAATTTTATGGACCATTTAAGTGTCTTTTGCTTAATGTCACATTATCCAATATAATGTAATATAATATAATATATATTATAATACATAATATAATGTAATCCAATCTCCTAATACTCCTATCTAACCACTACACAATAACACCAACAACTAAGGAACAACATTAATGTTTCAACATAGATATCTACTAGTATAAAGTTACAAGTCTACAGGGTCAAGAATACAGTTATGAAAACACATATGTCCTCTGTCTCTGTGTGACTTGTATTAAAAAATAAAAGTTGCTTCAGTTGGCCAGGGTATTACTCCAACAACTGTGGCTTCATATGCTCTCTTTACTGATAATGGATTATTATGATGTTTAGAGACATCAGTCCAATAAAGGGACTAATGAGAACACATCCAAACTATTAAGTTCCAGTTTACTGAGAAATAGACGATATTAAGCACACAATATCATCTCATCTGTATTCAATATAATGTATTTTTAAGGGTAAAGGGAGGGAGGGTTAGAAACTATTAAAAACGGGTGTGAAAATACAACTTATGATCACAAATATTTTTATTAAGCCCAAAACATAATAGAGCATTACTGGGAGAACCAGTATGTTCAATATATTTTCAAAATTGGTAAGTCTACTGAGTTGTGAGTTTTCAGAGTCTATAATATCTGAAGAAACACTGTAAGAGAGCTTCACTAACCTTCTAATGCCAGAGGATTATATTACCTTAGAAACTCAAGAAGTCAAGATGCCTTGAAAGTATAATCTCTAACAATTAACAAATCTTTGATTTATAAATAAGTTTATTTATAATGATATTTACATAATAAAACAAAATACATGAAACTCACAAGTTATACAAAGAAACTGATGTATAATAAAAACAGCAATATAGACTGACAGGCAAAAATTTAAAGAAAGATTTAATAAAGAGTTAAGTATTAAGTAGACAACTTTACTTCTAAATTTCACTTTGTCACCCACACTGAATTGGAATTGAACAATGGCTTTCTCTTTAGGAGGTCCTGTACTGGAAACTCTGGAAACTGGTATATTATATTTTGATAAGAATTTAAAGTTAATGATCTATTTCCATGCAGTACCTAATGCTGCCTTAATACGAAGTCACAATCAGTCTGCTTTGAAGTGAAACACTTGTTAATCTGTTCTGCCAGGTTAGAAAAAAGTCACAAACATTTTGCTGCTGTTGGAGACGTGGCAGGAATATACTGTTTAGAGAGTAAAGAGAACTGGAGCAAAAATGACTGGGCAACAGTTTCAAGAGAAGCAAAAGCCAGGAGAGGGAAATCAATGAAAACATGCACAAGAATAGGCAGAGTAATAAGCACAGTTAGTGCAGTTGGGAAATGAACAGAAGGAATTAATCCATTGAGCAAGATAAGGGCTTCTTTAATTACTTAGTATTCACTGGAAAACAACTTAGTGCCTACCCAAACAAATTCGTTCTAACAGAAGTACTTGGGAGGACCTGGGGGCGTTAGTATATGGAATGCCACCTTAAATTCAGGTTGAGTTCTTGTTGACAGTGGTGAACATCTGTTTCAAATAGCAATAAAATGAAAGCTATATAATCTATACAGCTGCATCCTTTAACATAATAAAAAAAAACTTCAAAGGAGACAAGCAAAAACAAGACATAAGCATTGTCAAATAAGGCACATGTAAAAATCTACACACATTATCCAGTGAAAGACAATATATATATATATTTGGAGGTAGAAATAATTACAAAAATACTGACATTTCTAAAGCATTAGCATATTTGTTACAAACAGTCACCAACTAATCCCCATTCAGAAAACTGTTTTTTTTGTAAAATGATTATTCAACATCTT